GGCTTGGCGGTGGCGTTTCCTCGCTGCAAGCGGTGCCGGATAGCCGGGGGCAGGTCCTTCATGGGGCTGTCCTGCACCAGGAAGGTCTGCCGTTTGACGGGGCTGCACAGGCTGCGGGGCGCCGCCAGCGCCGCCAGTTTGGCGGCGCCGTCCTGGATGAAGCGCTCCCCGTCTTCGTGGGCGGCGGCCTCATCCTCGCCCCGCAGCCATTGGCCGCGCTGCAGCTGTTCGGCCAATCGCTTGGCCTCCCGGCACACGGCGTCCAGCTGGTCCCCCGAAAGCGGACTCCAGCTGCTCCGTGCGCCGACAGCCCCTTCCTCAAGGCGGGAGGGCAAGTGATCGGGCGCACGTTTGGCCGCATGGCGGGACGGGTCCACAAAGACATCATCCGCGTCTTCGTCGCAGTTGGAGCTGCGGACGGAAAAAGCCATCGTTACCCAAGTTACTTTTGGGCAAAATTGGACTGGTCAGAGTAGTTTGAATGCAACCCATACTGTACTCGGATGTTCGATACCAGACCGACATCAGAAGGATTTTGGATCCATGCAGTTTTTTCCATCCCAAAGCTTTCTGTCTTTCTGATGCAGAGAAATTACCGCCACAGTGGGGCACCAAGGTTGCCCAATTTTGATCAGTGACAAGTGCCAAATGTCCACATTTCAGCCAAAAAAAAAAAAAAAAAAAAACGACTCCACTTCAACCGTGTTCGTGTTTATCCGAGAAATGTCTTCCTTGTGGTTTCCTTTGTCTCAATAGTGAACTTAAGACCATACCTTTATCTTTACAGATTTACATTTTGAGAAGAATGATCACTGGTTTTGTTGAGCGACGTTGTGCAATGTGGGATTTTTAACACTCGTATTTGATATTTTTGTCCATTTGATGTTCAAGCACCGATGAAACAAAACAATAAAGTCACTCAGTAGCCGGGGATCGTTTTCCCCATCGAACGAGTGTTTTAATCAATCAATCGCCAACTACGGGATTATTTGGAGGACTGCGTTTTGCTTTTTTTTGGTGTGTTGATGTGTTTGCTGACCTGGTCCTGTGACCGCTCTGCTCGGTGTGGGCGTCTGGCCAAGCGCCGCAGGTTTGCTTTTTGCCTTCAGGCCACTTTGAATCCGAGCGGCGGCGGCTGAGGTTCTTTTTAGGGGCGTGGTCTGGCATTGCGGTGAGGATCTGGTGGCTTTCACGGTCTCGGACAAATTCCTGGCTTGGCTGGGTAGCGCACTGCCGCTACTGCCGCCGCTGCCGGTGCCATTGCGGCTGCGGCGGCGGCCGGCGGAGGACGAGAACGACGATGACTGCGTCACCGTTTTGACACCCATGCCAGAGCGGCGTTTGTTTTGATTGGCGGGCTGGCTGACGTTGCCGGGGACGCCGGGACCGGCGGAGGCGCTCATAGCGCGGTTCTGCGAGGAGTTCGGCTTCCCTGAATGGAGGACAGCGTTAGCGAGACGGCTAACTGATGGCGCTTAGCCACTTCCTCTCATTCGGGTCATTTTGGCTGCTAAGTTGCCAGCCGGCTCGCTGGAGTTTCCTCGAAGATTACATGAGCGCCTCGCGGCGATGTTTCGGCCAAATGTGCCCCAATCTTGATGGACGTGACAGCGATGAGCGCACCTGTGGCTGGGGAGAGGGACAGGCTGGAGTTGAAGCTGGAGACGGAGGACGAGGACGACGACGTCTTGCGCCTTTCCGCGGGCTTCCTGCTCTGAAGCGGCGTCACCTTCATGCCGGACCTCGCCACCTTCGCACAAGACACCCCCCCACC